GCCTAGTCTGAACCTGAGATAATGTCTGTGACTCGGTAAAATCAAAATGTGGAAGTACGTATCTTGGAGGTTGAGCGTTGAGCACCAATCTCTTTTCTCTAATGCTGGAATAACCGTTGACAAAGTGACCATTGTGAAATTCCGCGCCTTGATAAATTTGTTGAGCGCTCTTGAGGTCTAGTATGGATCTTCTTTGATATCAAAAAGTAGTGACAGCAGAAGCCTTTACTTCTTAGATGTGTGGGCACTGGTTCTATGGCTTCTATGCTGAGGAGATGGTTTATCGTGAGAAGGATCCCTGAAGAGGGACAGAGAAGGGTGTTTGTCCCTTGCACACAGTAGCATGACCAGGGACAGCTGCTGGTAAGCCTGGTGCCTGCTCCAGTGGGCAGAGCTGGGATCGCTACAACCATGCCGGAGGAGCTGCCTGGGCTGGGCACTGGCTCCTGCATGCGGTGGCCCGACATGCTGCTGCTTTTGATGCTGCAGTTCCTGCCCTAGTTGTTGGCCATGGCCCTGCTGGTCTTGCTTGTTGTCTGTCACTAGAGTCCTGCAGCTCCGCAGATATCCACTTTATATTCGTGGCTACCCGCATCCATGGATATAAATTGTGTATCCGCGCAGGGCTCTACAGGCATGCCCAACCAGGCCAAATAAGCTCCTCAGAAAAAATGGGGGAGAAGAAAAACTGAAACCTCTCACAGCTAGCTAACTAATTCCATACTAACAACAACTAATTCTAACTAGAAATACTAAACTAACTAAACAACTACAAAACACGCTGAGGAACACAAGAGGCAGACACGCTAGAACTCCCTCTCAGGCCGAGAAGTAGAGAAGGAACTGTAGGTGGTTTGCCTGCACAGCCCTATATACTGTTGCAGAGAGAGATGAGGTTGTACAGAGCGCAAGCACAAGCCAAGCAGACATTGCTAATGGAAAATCTCCGATCCAGGGCTTGAGAGGTGTATGTGCACCTGAAATGAAGCACCCATAGGGACACTACTCAAAGAAGAAACATGCCTTGTAGTGATAGTTTCAAAGAGCTCAATCAATTTAGCTTAAAAAAGAGAAGGCTAAAGGATGAACTTGATTGCAGTCTATAAGAACCTATATGGGGAACAAATATTTAACAATGGGCTCTTCAATCTAGCAGAGAAAGATATAACATGATCCAATGGCTGGAAGTTGAAGCTAGACAAATTCAGACTGGAAATAAGGCATAAATATTTAGCAGTGAGAATAATTAACCACTGGAACAACCAAGGGTCATAGTGGATTCTCCCACACTGGCAATTTTAAAATCATGATTGCATGTTTTTCTAAAAAATCTGCTCTAGGAATTATTTTAGGGAAGTTCTATGGCCTGTGGTATACAGGAGGTCAGATGACATGATCACAATTGTACCTTCTGGTCTTGGACTCTATGGAAGTTCTAGTCTGAAAAAAGTGACAAAGAGTCCTGTGGCACCTTACAGACTAACAGACGTATTAGAGCATAAGCTTTCGTGGGTCAATACCCACTGAGTCAGACGCATGAGTCTATAGGTGCCACAGGACTCTTTGTCGCTTTTTACAGATCCAGACTAACATGGCTACCCCTCTGATACTAGTCTGAAAAATAATTCTAAGAATAACATTGTGTGGTTCCATGTTTATTGTGTTTCAAGGATTTCCAAATCAAAGTTACACCATTTACAAGTAAAATTAAGCACAGGCTTGTTGTGACTGCCAGCCCTGAAAACTCAGCCTGGGACCTGAGATTTCATCTGGGCTCTTTCCTTCTTCTGCATCATCAGCAAAGAGCCTGCAGGCGATATTAAGCTGTCTGTTATACCTGTGTAACTCCACTGTGTCCAATTCATGCTGTTGGTGACCCCTAGGCAGCCTTGGAATAGAACCACATTTTAAAGTGTGTAAAGGGCATATCAACCCAATGTAAGACCACGTATTACCCTACTGCTGTGGCACTTCTGGTCTCTGTTGGGATGATCAAAGAAACCGTATCACTTTAGTTTCCTATGTAACTCTTAGACTAAACCATCTGCCTTTTGTCCTGTGGACACCAGCTGGGGTGATGGAAAGGAGGAAATTAACCAGCTCTCTCTTAGTATATGTATAAACAGCAGTTTTAAAATGACCAGAGGTTATAAATAGCTCCCAAATGCTCAATTCAGTAAAAGCCTATCATTTTAAAAAATTCCTCTAAATGCAAGGAAATGAAACTCTTGCTTGATCAGAACAGTATGAACAAAAAATCATATCATGAATTTATAAGTTAACACATTTCCCAACAAGGCAGATTTACTCAGAATGACACAGTTGACAGCAGAGATACTCTGAAAGTACTTTTGACACGTGTCAAAATCCTGCACTAATTTTGAGTGCCAAACTTCAAACAAGTGGGGTTCAATTTGTGAGTGCTGAGTACCTACTTCTCCAGCAGAAGTCAATGGGAGTCATGGGTACTGAGCACCTGTGATAATTAGTCCCTAGGTATCTCAAGTTGGGCACCCACAAATTGAGGAACACAAATTTAGCAGACACATGAAAATGTATTTGTTGCCTTTTTACACTCTCGCATGTGCATCCAGTTGAGAAAGTTTAAAGATGTAAGTTCATTTTTATAGTGAGTTCATTGAATCCATCTATGACAATTGCACAGATTTGCACACACCTGAACATACTCCTTTTATCCACACTATCAGGTCTTTTAAAATTGTAACTTGAGAAAGAGACTTAAGTCTTTAGAGCATTCTCTTCCTCAAAGGCATTCACCACTCCCAGCTCCCCAATCCTTTGGAGTCTGATCCAAAGCCCATTGAGGTCACTGGTAGTCTTTCCATTGATTTCACCGAGCATGATTCAGATCCTTAATGCAGAATTCTTATCGTGGTAATAACCTGTTTTCTGAAGCCAACCGAGATATAAAAGGAAGATACCTCTTTGTAATCCCTCCCTATTACTTTCCCGAAGGCAGGGGAAATAACTGTATATAGTACATAGTACTAGAGAGTTATTTTGTACTGCTTACTGCAAGTTGTTATGTAGGCCAAGTAGAAACATTCTGGGCTACGTGGATTCCTGAAATCATGGCTGCTGCTAGTAACAAAGGGCTTGGACAGATCTCTCCTTCCTTTACCGCCAGCATCTCAGTTTTCATTCAGAAAACACTAGGCTGAGTACATGACAGGGACTAACACATCATAAGGTTTCATTTCATAGGAAAAGTAAGCATTCTGTAGGCTGCAGGACATAAGCCAAGGATAATACAGAGCAGGTTGCAAGGTCAGGTCAAACGCTCATGCAAACTGTGTGACGCCCACCTAGAACATTCCTCAACCATCTCTCTTTCTCTTTTAATCTTTCTTTACCTTTTTTTTAAATTAAAAAGGTGGTGTTCTGTATGAGGAAGAGGACTAGGTATAACTCACTGAGCGTCTCACATCTTGATCATCCAGCTCTGGTTAGGTAACACTGATTTTCTGCCCCAGTGGAAGTGATTTTACTCTGATGCATGCCATTTAAATTCATTTTACACAGCTGCTTAATGTGGCTTGGCAAGCCACAGCCAAACTAGCTTTCTATATCTAAATGGGACTCCTGAGTTCATAAAGGACAGATCCTGTGGATTAGCACTAGATAAATGTCTCTCCCCCACTGATATGTTGCTACTGATTTAGGAGTTGACCTTGAAGGCTACTACAACCTACTTATACAAACAGACTGCTGTATAACTGTAACCTGCTCATTTTGTTTCCTTTTAACTCTACATACAAGAATATCTTTCGCAGTTATAAATAATCTCAAATAATCAAATAATCTCTAAACCCCACAAATCTATCCTACAAACTCAAGACATACATGGAAATACGCTGCACGGTGTTCATGTACTTTGGCATATACCAGGGTACATCTTTCCAATTCCAGCAAATGCCAGGGGAGTGCGGAGAGGGGGCAAGATTTGCTATATTGCAGCTTCTACCGTTTTAAATAAAGAGAACCAACAGTGATTTTTATAGTAGTTTCTCAACCTTCTTTCTGGAGTTTCTCGATCTTTTTGTGTGTGTGTGTGCGTGTGTGGCTATGTAAACAATATACAGTTCATGGAAAACTAAAATTGAAACTTGCTGATGACTGGGAAGGCACTGGTAACATGGGTCTCGAGACTTCCTATTGGTCAGTAATGGAGATAACGTCATGGAGGGAATTCCATGACACTTGAAACTAAGATCAAGTCTGGCACTGTGGAAGATCAAAGACTGTGCTGGACGCAGGTTTGTGCATATTTCCTGCCTCCTCCCTCACTCCCGACACTCTGATTTGTAACAATGCTGCAGAAATCACAGCATGAAGAATTCTGATGGAAAAACATTAGGCATGTTTTAAGCTAATGTTTGATATTGGACACTCCAGCATGTTTAAAACTCCTCGGTAGGGAGGGACTAGCAGATATCTTTCAAACACACACTCTCTCAGTCATGACGTAATGAAACCTTTTGTAAGTCCCATTAATGAATCTTGTCATCACTTTTAAAATAAGTCTCCTGTCAAAAAGGGGTTGTTGTATTATGTGAGAGTAGCTCACTGAAGTGGTAGTAATGCCAACAACTACAACATCACAGTCATGTAAGCAACGTTCCTAAACAAAACAACAATAACAATGGGGGAGAAATGACCCCTGGAGTGTGTGGTGGGGTGGGTTTCATTCTTTTTCAGTGATGAAGTTCTTCATTTCCCTCTCAGGCATGAAGGAAACAGAGCCATGCCAAAAGCCATGCAGGGTGTGTGTGAGTGAGTGACATGCAGATTTTCATCATATTGTCACAGTGGAGTTAGTAAAAACAAAAACAAAAGAACAAAAAACCCCTCTATGATGCAAATATTTGAAATTCTTTCTCTTGATTTTTGTATTCCTTCAGCAGCCAGATGGCATGTTCATAAACATTAAAAAAAACTGCTAAGGTCCCACAGCAAGTCCAGTTTATATTGCTACCTACCCGTACTGGTCAGGCTGGTGCATCATGGGAGCCTGAGCGTTGCCATAGTTGGGGTGCTGTGAAGAAAACATGGGGCGTCCGCCAGCCCCAGACTGGCTGGGATAAGCAGGCGACCTAATGTATGGTGGCCTAAAGCAGAACAAAAGAACAGCTTCTTTGGATTTGTTCTGTATCACAAGTATGAATCACCCTGTCAACTACATTCCTTCCATATGTAAGTATGGAGGGCTTGCAGAATTAAGGCCAAAAGCAACAATGCTGTCTCCCATACACTTAACCTGGGATCAAGGAGAGAAATGTCGTGCTTCCAATCTTTCGGAATAAGAAAGGATTGACAGGTTTCACCCAATTTGTAGCTTGTATATGTTCTTTTTGCGGTAAAGACCTGATGACTGCATAGTCCTCCCTACAGGTGTTGGATCACTCAAATTGGCAACGTGATGAAAAGGCTTTGAAATGGTGCATTATTGACCAGGCAAAGCTAGAAACTGAAAGCAAGTCTACCAAACTGATTCGGGAGGGAGGCGTGAGGTGGGAGCAGGAATTAATTATCTTAGTTTTTAATCAAACACCAGGCTCTATATTCAAAGTATAAGGCAAATCACCACCATATACTTTCCATTTATTACAATAAATTCTTTTCCTTTTAATTAAAAAAACAACATGATTTTGATTTTTTCTTTGTCCACCCACTTGTACTATTATAAAGAAAATGCTCCTGCAGTTGCAACAATGGCTAATTTATTCCTTCTAGCCTGACCTACCAGATTATATCCTAAACCAGACAGATAGAACCAGACTTTGTAAATCTTACTCAATAGGTCCGTGAAAACAATCAAGTCAACCAGCGCCTGCTGGTCCACAGACCTCTGCAAGGGGTTAGGCTATTTTGCTGAAAGGGAGTGTGATTTATTTTACTAAAAGGGAATGTGAAAACAGTGACTTTATTATTGTTTAAAAGTTTTCTAACACTTAACAGGAGGAGCCACCTGCACTCCAAAAGCACCAAACAAGAAAGCAAAATGTACCTAAATGCATTAGCTTCCTATTTTCTTTTGACATTGTGCCTTAGAATTACCTGCACCTCCAACTTCCAAATACCATTGTAGAATGTATCCTAGAATTTTATAAAGCCCTATACATGCATATGTGCCTCTATGTGTGCGCTTAATATACACATGCATAAAAACTTTCATACACATAAGAGGGGAATGAGCTTGTAGTAACCTCAGATATAATGAAACTCCTTTTTTATGGTGAAACAATAAAAGTATCAGTCACTATTTGTTTCAATTCAGTGAAACATACACATTCCTTAGATGAAGATGTTCTGAGAAAAAAACCACTTCACTATAGGCACTTAGGCCCCTTAAAAATACCCAAGGGCTAATCTGTGGCTTTGCCACAAGCCATGAACAAGTGGCAGGGTGTAGCTGCGCTGCCCTCAGGAGCAGACCAGAAACCAGATTGTGACTCAGAGTCACAGTCGTCCCCAATTCCCCCCTTGCAGGTGGGTGGAAGTAATTTCCTCCAGTTTATACCTGGTGCAGCTTGCTTCTCGTTCCGTGCCAGCTCAGCTCTACTGGCCTGTGTGTTAGGGAGGAGACAAGGCTCCGCCCCACTCCCCATCCCTGCCTGCATGCCTGCTTGGGAGTGGGAGTGGTGGCCCCATAGAAATGGCTCTCCCCTAGTGCTGTTACCTACAATATGGATAAGAAGCACTGGAAAGCAAGGGGAGCCTTGTGCCCCATTACTCCCCAGCACAGGCACACAGCCAAGGACACAATCTGGCCCTAAGATAGCTACAGGGTTCCAATTCAAATATTAAAATTCTCCATTTTAAGTTGTAAGAGCTTGTTTTTGGCTCTTGATGTCACCATAGCCCTGTGGGATTTCCTGTTCTAACAGCCTATAGTGCCAGGAATCATATTGTAAATGGCAAGTCTTCTCCTTGTAAGGCCAGTTCACACAACATATAGCTGTACTGTACTTTCCCTTACATTTAAGATTGTTCTTTCACATTCTTTATTACCCGTATATGTATAGGACATATAACTAGAGCATATATAAATTAACACACACATCTACATAACTGTTACTGTAGCAGTTTCTGAAATAATACCAAGTTTCTACTTGTTTAAAATCCTTTCGCTCGGATGCATACCTGCTCTGAGCGGAGTTTGCAGCAGCCTGCATCACTGCAGCAGCTGCCTCCTGTGCCTTACGGTTCACAGTTGGCATGGGTGGGCCCATCCCAGGGCCTCCCTGCAGAGACATGCCAGGAGAATTGGGGGTCATACTGCCCATGTTTCCAGGAAATGGTCTGCTTTGCATCCCAGCTGATGGCATCCGTCCCAGGGGCATGGTACCACATGGCTGGCTTGGCCCCTGTCCATGCATCTGACTATTGGCATTTATACCCATGCCGGGTCCTGGGCCACTGTAACTTGTGTTAGGCACCCCACTGTATGTTGATGGTCTGGAGTAGTTTCCTAAACAAAACAACAAACACAGAGAAAAACATAAAACTTTTCATCTGATGTTTCCATTTAGCAAGTTGCCTGCTGGAAAATTCTTTAGGTAGTCAAATAATGTGAGTAACACAGGACATGAGTCAGAATTTCTATTAACCCTTAGAACACTGGTATTTTCCAGACTGATAGCCATATAAATGCATAGGGTGATATGAATACAGAAACACACTGAATCGAAAGGGTTAACAATTGATCAGAAATGTTTTGTGCACTGAAGAGATGCCTCGGGTTAAAGAAACTCCTTATATAAATTCTTTTCTTACATAAATGCCTTTTATTTTTGCTCATTTTATATCCTCAGAGATTTCATCCTTCTGTAATTCCAGCACCAAAATTTTCTCATTGGAGCCCTGCTCCCAAAGGTTCTGTCCTAACCACAGTGTGAATTTACAATACAGATGTGCCACTGCTGACCCGTGATGCTAGGACTTTAGGAATCTTTCCCTTCCCTTTCAGAAGTCCCTTTTTACCCTAGTAGAGCTCTGTGTCCACAAAGTTTCTTTTTGCTTCCCAGTGTTTCAATTTTCACATTGGAACTTTCTCCTCCTGTTGGTCCATATTCTAGCTGCTGCATGCATAAACACTGGTGCAGACTCATAACGCCCCTCCCCCAGTTTGTGTTTCTCTATGATGCAGAGTATTGCTTCCGGTTCTGTGGACTGTATTCAGTATATGAAAGGTGGGGTTTGACGCCCAGATTGTAAAACACTGAAAGATTAATAGTTGCCCACCAAAAACATATAAGTGTACCACATGCTAAATATACCAAGTATCCAATGAACTGGACAGGGAAGCTCAAACACATGATGACACCAAAGCACCAACACCTCTGCTTTCATTTGGAGTCTTTCATGGCTACAAGAGGGACAATAATACTTAGGCCTTGGCTACACTGGAGCTGTACAGCGCTGCAACTTGCTGCGCTCAGGGGTGTGAAAATGCCCCCCCCTGGGCGCAGCGAGTGCAGCGCTGTAAAGTGCCAGTGTAATCAGTGCCTGCAGTGCTGCCCGCTCCCTCGCAGCGCTGCAAGCTATTCCTCTCGGAGAGGTGGAGTACTTGCAGCGCTGCGAGAGAGCTCTTGCAGCGCTGGCGGCGCGACTACACTTGCGCTTCACAGCGCTGCCGCGGCAGCACTGGGAAGTCCTGAGTGTATCCCAGGCCTTAGTATTTAACCCAACACTTTACATACTCAGATTACTTTACAAACATTTCCTAAAGAATCCTGAACATTACCCAAGTTAACATGTTTTACCTTTTTCTTCAAATTTAAGTACTAACTTTTCTGGAACAGAATCTTACTTAAAAAACCCAACAACGACAACAACAAAAACAAAACCAACCAACCAACCAAACAAACAAAAAACAAAGAGCATAAGAAGGAAAAGAGAGTAAGGGAGATTTGACAGAAAAGACGTTTAAAGAAATATATAAAACTCCACATTTCCCTGGATTGCTCAGCTGCTTTGCAATTTCTTTTCTCGTCACACCCAACTTAGTAGAAATATAACTCAATTCCCCCCCATGGGATAACACAGAGTGGAATATTCTGACTCTTCCTCAATATTCCCACGCTTATTTAAATGGTACAGCCAGTGAGCTCCTCCTCTGAAATGAAGAAATAAGACATCTCTCGCCTCACCCCTCAAGCTACCAGAAAGAGAAACGGATAGAATACAAGGAGTCCTCCATCCCTTCCTGTTTATATTGAAAAGAAATATATTAATCCAGGATCTGACTGTATGTGTAATTAATTCATATATTCATGCCATTTTACTGTGCATAGTTCTCTTCCCCCGCCCCCCAGCCACTTTTAACTGACTCATTCAGTTACAAGCTCTCTACAGTGGAAACATATGTGACCTATGCTTTCGAAGGAAATGAAATAACACGTTACTCTTGTTTGAGAAACCCAGCATCTATGCGTGGTTGTTTCACAGAAGGCTCCCCACAATGTGGTTTAGCAAAGATGAAAGTGTCCAGATTTAGCTGTACTCTAAACACTGTGCCCTGTTATTCCCTATCCTCTTCTAGTCATAGCCATTGTCAACTGATCATTTCTATTCTTGAAGAGGTCCTGTTATTGCTGCCTCTTCCAGCCAAACCTCTTCAATCCAAATATATGGCCACCAAATGAGTGCTCATTAGAGCTTTCCATAGCTCCGCTTACCATTGAACTAGTAACACACAACTCAGCTGTTGCTCTGGTCTTAAGACTGCTTGGTAGATATATTTATGCAACAGGGTTGCATGAACACATATACATACACAGAGTACAGCATATTTTTATATATATATATATATTACATTCACACTGTACATAAGGTACCTTCCAATGAGGAGCAAATTCAGCCCTTATGCAAGCAGGTATTACTCCCATGGAAGTCAATGACAGTTACTGTCATTCCAGCTTATGCCAGGGTTGAATTTTGTCCTGAATTCCTAATTTTTTTCTGGTCTTTAATCAACTAAGGTCTACAAAATATAATTCAGCAGCAAACATGGAGGAACAGACACTGATGACATTATTATTTTGAGACTATTTTGCATCAGGGACAGAATATTTCTAATTTTCCTTTTTTTCCTTTGGTTTATGGAGACTCAGCACCACACACAAAAACAGAGGAATCTTCTCTATAAACACATGTTGCCTCAGTTAAAATCATTCATCTCCAGGGATCCAAGTCCAAGAGTACAGGGAAATGATATCCTTTCAGAAAGGAAACATGCTTCAATGTTTTTTCCACAGGTTTTTATTTTTTTGCTAAACATTTCCTCAATACCTCAAGTACCAGCTATTCTTATACCTTCCTCAAACCACAAAAAAGAAAAATAAAAGCCAAACAAAATAGAAGAGAAAAATCCAGGACTGAGAAGTGCAATCTTATTTCCATGTTTCTCTAATAGATTAGTAATTTGCTGGCAGTGGCTTTGACAGAAAACAGATGGATGCAGCATTAAACACAAAGAATGCAGCAGATGCTGGGCCAGCCCACATCAGCTGGACGTGTCAGGCAGCCAAGTCCAAGAGCCCACACTTTTCAAGTGGGTACAAGCCTGGCACAGCAGCTCTGGAATACTAGTGAGCAACCCCTCCCCTCTGCATCCAATGGATTTTCGATTCCAGCTCTCCCAAGCAAATTAGAATAGAATCCAGAAGTTTGGAGTCTCAAATGGAGGAGGAAGCAATCAAAGTTACTTGTAAAATGATAATTGGAGTTAAAAAAAGGGAAGACAGACAATAAAAACACGAAGACACTGACAACCGGCCAAAGGTTGAAACTTATGTCCCATACTCACCACTCTGCTCAGGCATTGCTGTGCATGAACCACAGTATGTAACTGCACTTAGGGGTCTGATACCCTGCAATTTCTAGGCAATTAGAGAGGAGTGAAGAAGAAAGTTTCAGAACTGACTGTAAGTTTCCTTGCTTTATAGGTGGAGGTCAGATTCACAGTATTAAAAATAATATCCCTCCAAATGTTTTTAAAATTGTCTACACTCCCATTTATCCGTCAAACTGTAGTGGTGCCTTTTTTCAATTGGATAAATATAGATTTCAGGAATTTTAAAAAGAGGCCCTTATTTAAATGAATAAGTTATTAAAAAGGCTATTATGTTAAATCCCATTACAAGTATTTCTGATTAGGGGATGCTCTCAAGTGGCGGAGTCCTCATGTTTAGGAGCCAACCTGCAAACACTCATTTGTAGAACTGGAGCCTTAGTTTTTACTTAAAAAAGAAATTACAAAACATAGTATTAATAGTTACTAATGTTATATTTTTAAAATTAAATGAAGAGTGTTTTTTTGTTTGTCTGTTTGTATTTTAAGATTTCGGGTGGGATTTCAATAGCATTCAGTATTGGCCTAATACACTAAAGCAGCAGTGGGCAACCTGCGGCCCATCAGAGTAATCTGCTAGCGGGCGGCGAGACATTTAGCTGACGTCCACAGGCACAGCCACCCACAGCTCCTAGTGGCCGCGGTTCGCTTTTCCCGGCCAATGGGAGCTGCGGGAAGCGATGCAGGCCACAGGGACATTCTGGCCGCCAATTCCCGCAGCTCCCATTGGCTGGGAACGGCAAACCGCAGCCACTGGGAGCTGTGGGCGGCCGTGCCTGCAGATGGTCAATGTAAACAAATTGTCTTGCGGCCAACCAGCGGATTACCTGGAAGGGCCACAGGTTGCCCACCACTGCACTAAAGTCAATGAGAGTTTTACTACTGACTTAAATGGGAGCAGAGTTAGGTAAACTCTGCACTTCGGAATAATCTCATCCTTAATATGCCCAGATGGGCTCTATTCTATGCTGGTTCTTCTATGGCCCTAATAGCTAAGTATCTAAGAACCTTCCAGAAGAGCATTAAGAGATGTGACTAACATCCATTACAATAACAATTATTTTTTATTTGTATTCAGTAGCACATAGGAGCACTAGTCATTGACTTGGACCCCATTGTATGAACCGTTTTACAACACAGAACAAAAAGACACCTTACATACAGTTTAAGTGTTTCTTTCTTTGGGGTGGGCAAGAAAAATGGTGTTGAGGATTTTTTTCGTATTTTTCAAAAATGTAATATATGTACTCTGTGCTATGTCTGTATATTAGCAAAAGCAAGGTTGAAGAAGTGCGCCTTGAATTTGGAGCATAAGGTGGTGAGGTTTGTGATGGTTTTATTTCTGTGGGAATTTGTCCCACAATCTTGGACCAGCCCGAGAGAGCTGTGTCCTATGCAAATGAGTTTTACTGCTGGGAAACTGATGACAACCAAGTGAAACTGACCATAAACAGCTCAGATAATTTTTATTCTATAGTTGGAGGCTAACTCCTGCAAACCCTAACTCACAGGAGTAATTTTTATTCTATTGCAGAGTAAGGACTATTCCCTTGAGAAAGGGTTTGCAGGACTGGTCCGTAACTGACAAAGAAAACGTAAATTAAGGCACTCGATCTAGCAAAGCACTTTAGCATATGCTTATCAAGTACACAAGACGTCTGATTGAGTTAAATGGGACTACTAGTGTGATTAAAATTAAGCATGGGCTTAAGTGCTTTGCTGGATGAAGGCTAAAATGAATTAAAAATTTTATATTTATATTTTGACACTTGAAAGACAAGTGGAGCAACACTATCATATATTCTTAATTGTAAGTATATTTGTGGGCAATGTAAAAGGTTTTGACTGTAACTTTTGAGGTTCTTATTTCCGAAGTGTTATAATGCTGTAAAGTGCACCCTTTCAATGTTAATTTATTGTTTGTTCGGTCTTTGTATACGTACATTTGGTAACTGAAAGAAATATTTAACAAAGCTATAATTAAAAAAAATTGATTTTTTGACTTTTTGAACCAGAATGGGCTTTTATACAGATCTCTGTCACAATAATCATAATGTAGCAAATGTTAGCAAGTAAGTGTTAGAGAGGAAAGTACAAGTTATGCTCATTAAAAAATGAAGAGTTGTCTATTAAAAGATAACACTTAAATAAGCATTCGAACTAAAAATATATTGGATAAGGCCCAAGACACATTATGATTAGTGATTTTTGTGAATATTTAATATAATTATAACAGTCATGCCAATGTTTCATAAATGGTCAAACAACATGGTGACAAATTTCACGTTCTCTTCTCCCTGTGTCACCCATACAACATGAAGTCTTCAGTGTACTAATTTTACAATTGCCAGAGGATGGAATCACCAGTCCCCTCTAGGATCTGACAGAGAAACACACTTTACATCCATCACACTATTCACCAAGCCCTTTTGAAACTACTTGTTAATGCTCATTCCCCTACTGTCCCCAAGTTCACATTTTAATAGCCGTTTCTTTTGGCCATGACCCATAAAATCATTACATAGACACTTTCATCTACAAAGAGAGGCGAAAAAACTGCTGAACTCAAGAGAAAAATAAAGTAATATTTGGCATGTTACTTAAATGCATTGATTTAGTATAAAAATCTTTCCATTCAATCAGCGTGGATTCATTCAGCTAATGTTTTACTGCACAGACCAACTATTTCCATGGTCTGGAATCTCAACAGTATCAATGTGGCTGGAAGTCATGATGGTACATAATAAATCCACTGGATTTTTACCACTTAAGCTAGCTGCTCGCTGTTCAGATAACAGAAGCACTCCTACAACATCTTACAACTACAAAATGCTTTACAAACAAAAGGAAGGCACCAGTAAATTGGACATAACTAATTAATCTTCACACATCCCTGTGAGGCATTATTATCCCCATTTTACAGTTAAGGAAACTGAAGCAGAGAAATTAATTGACTTGCCCAAGTTGAAAGAGGGAATCAGCAGCAGAGCTAGAATTAGAATTCAGGAGTTCTTGGCTCCTAGTCTTTTGTTCAGAGCACTAGAACAAATGTATCATAGGGATTAATGAGAGGGGATTTTCTGTGGGGTGAGAAAAGCCACCAAAACAAGGAGAGGGCTTAATTCTGATAGAACTCAGAATACTAAAATCATCCTCGTTAGAACTCACTTCCAACAGCATTCTGATGAGCCCTCTACAGAATTTCCTGGATCAAGATACAGACCTTTTTCAATAGAATAGCTATTTTCAGTAAACAAGCAATGGGAAGAACTTGCTGAAACAGACAAGCTTTTTGATCCAATTTGAAAGGAAATACTGTCCCTGTATATTCAATGGTTTCGCTGGAAATTCATTAAATCTCTAAACAGATGCATACTTTAAAGGTTATCCATTAAAGATGAAGCAACAGACTAGTTCAAGGTTGTGTGCATTAAATGTTCAGGGATAGAATTTGTTTCTTCTCTCTCTTTTTTTTAAATCCCTCAACAATTCTGTCAAACAAGCAAAATAAAAGGACCTATCTCTCGCTCGCTCTCTCAATTTGAAGGGTTAGTTAAAATTCACAAACCATATACATTAGAGCTCAATATTACATTCCCACAGTAACTACTGTATTATGATACTCATTAATAGACCACAGTTACTACAACATTTCAAACTGGCCTCGGGGCTCCACATATCAAGGGAAGTCCTGTTTTGGGACCAGTTTTGTGATGCTTGTTCCCTGAGTTGGTAGAACTCAAGCACATCCTAGGGATGACAGGCCTGACCTCCAAAAGAATGGGCCAGGCAGCATTACAGATCCAATACTTCATGTGTATTTTATGGTGGCACATTTACAGAGAGACAGTGGTGTTAATCTAGAAGAAGCTACTCCCTTGGCCAGAAAACCAAACCAGTGAAGACAGCAATCTACTTAGACAGAGTAAATTAATAAAATAATAAAGAATAATTAATAACGGCTTCATCAATATACACATTCAGTGCTGAAATGCTGTCATCTCTTGGCTAATGGGGGCTAGCTAAGTGGTGTACAATGAGATACCCAACACTGGCGAGTAGGCAAATTTTGGACAAGGACAAACATTTGGCCAGCTTATGTTCTGACCCAGGACAAACTCTTGCTCTTACAAACATACCATGAAATCTTCAATTTCCATTCAAAGGAGACAGGAAAGTAACAAATCAAAAACAGGAAGAGATATGGACAATTAGGAAGTAATTAAGACCATTATCAATACTATAGCTGATGACAAAAAGCAATTAAGGAAATACTGGAAACCTATACAGATCAGTGGGTCTCGGTGATTTGTATCCTACAGTGGTAAGTGAATCAGCTAACTAAACTTACTAAAACATTGATAACCATTTTTGAAAAATCATGGAGCACCCATGACAGTTTCAGATTAATTTTGTTTGAAATTGTGTGTTCATTCAAACCTGAAACTCCAAACAGAGTTGGAAGGGTGTAAACCACACAGATTTAACCAATTAAAATGTTTCCTCAAGCCAAAGTGAAGTGAAACTCCTAGGTTTTGCACAGATTTAATTAGCAATACTGTCCACTATTAGTCTAAATGGAAAATAAAAATAAATGGCCATTAGTGCTTCTACCTCTCTGGGAAATAACTGGTAAAGTTTCAACTCAAGCAGACTTAACCCTATTTTAAAATTTATGAGCCGTCTAACATTGTGTCTTGGCCTGTTTTGGATTATTTTATTTTTATATATATGTCCAGTTTTCTCTTCAGTCTCCAAGTCAGATGAGGCAACACTGGAAAACAACTCAACGTATGTCCTCAAATTATCTTTTAATGTCAAATAATCTCTCGCCTCATGTTTAGCCTCAGTATAATAACGCAAAACAAAAAGTTTTAACTCAAGTGCCATAAGCCAGTGAATTTTACTGAGAAATTAAAGAATACAAAGACTGCTAATAACATTTTGAATATGATGTTAGCTAAAGAAGTTTTTGCAATTATTTTAAAACAAAAGGTGTGTCATTGAGTCCTTTTAAAAAAAGGCATTCTTTTTTTTATTATTTATTAAATAATAAATTTATTACATTATTAGTTTTTTACCTTAAAGTTTAACAGCATGTCTCATGGTTTGTTTGTTATATTACCTTGTGGT